AAGACGGTCAGTAAGCTCCAGGGATCCTCCTAGCTCTGGGCTGTGCCTGGCAAAAGTGAGCTAAGTGGGTAGGCTGAGCACACAGGATGGGACCTGTAACCATTCTGTCCATCTAGGACACTGAAGGGCCAGTAGATCTGATTCCGACCTCCAGTGTCTTGGGTCTGATATCTAGAAATGATGTCATGTCTGGATTTCTGCATGAGGAAAAGCTTTCTAGCTGTACTGAAAGTGGCAGTGATATCATCTGTGCTTATCAAGCACCATTATGTGCCTTCTCAGAGGCCTGCGAACATTGCCAGGGCTTCCATCCTGCAGACATGTTAGGGTGTTGGAGTATTTTGGTAGGGTAGCCAGGCGCCTAAAGCATCTTGCCATTGAATCCGGGACTGTGATTTACTAATGATGCCTCTGTCTCTTGAGTCTCTGGAAGCATTGACCCCCACATCACTGAGAGATGCCAGACCAGACCTGGCGCCTGTAACTTGGTAATGTAGTGGGATATTGTATTGGCTTTTTTTTTTAATTAACTTAACATAAACCTAGAATACCATTTAGAAGGAATCTCAATTGAGTAACCGCCTCCATCCAGTTGACTGGTGGGCATGTCTATGGGAGCATTTTCGTGATTGCCAGTTGATCTAGGAGGGCCTAGCCCACTGTGAAACACCTCCAGGTATGTGGGCCTGGGCTGAGTAAGAGATGTAGCTGGGCAGTCCATGGCTAGCGATCCTCTGTGCCTCTTGCTTCAAACTCTTGCCCTGACTTGCTGCCCTGGCTTCCCTTGATGGTAGACTGTAATCTGTAAGATGGAATAAACCCTTTCCTCCTCAAGTTGCTTTTGGTCACGTGTTCCTCGTAGCAACAAGAAGCAAATTAGGATGTTTGCTTGTCCTGTCAGGGGACAGTTCTGTTGACGGCAGGTTTGTTGGCAGAATCTAGATGTTGCTGCAGCACCCTTCCCATGCTGACTGTGAACCGTCTGGACAGTGGAGACATTTTCATCATCCTGCAGGAGCGATGCCCCAGAGATGGTTGTGGGCTCATCACTCTTCTCTCCTGACTTGTGAGTGACCTCCTTCCACCCTGCCTCTGGCTGACTGGCCTTGCTGTCTGCTCTTCTGGCAGCCTCAGGGTTTCCTGGAAACCGTGTCCTCCTGTGCTCAGGGCCATCTCATTACCTGCCTCCTTGGCTCTAGCCATGTCTGGCTTCCAGTGGTCTTGTCATTTGATAAATGAGTTTTCCTCCCTTTGAGCTAAGGGCTAGGGGTGCTTTAGGTTCTCAGGGAATGTTTCCAGGAGCTGTGGCCTGGCTCCCCTGACTCTGTTCAGTGGGAGTGTCTGCTGCTGCCTGGCACAGGGACGGCTGTGGCTGCTTGTGCTGGCTTCCAAGACTGGAAGTGATAAGAATGTCGTGTGCATGGTAGAGCGAGGCCAGGCACCCCTTCCTGAGCTGTCCACCTGCTGATGGCACACAGTGCTTTTTCCATGCTGACTTCATTTGGAACCGCAAACTCTTTGAGGACACTTAGTCTAAGAGTAGTTTGTCCTTACTGAATTTAGATTTTTAACATAATTCATTAAAGATAAAAGGAGACAAAGGGACTTAACACATTTTGTCATTATTCCTGATATATGGATGACTGAGTAATTACTAGTGTGAAATATTGTTATGAACAAATCCTTTTGATAAGAGGAAATTAGTGAGTAGCTACCAATGTCTGATAGAGGCTGACTAGAAAGCCACTTGCCTTGTGGCTGTGCACTTAGTAAGTAAATGGGGTGGGGACACTTTCAGTAACTTTTTCATGAGCTCTGGGCTCTGGCCTGCATACCAGAAGTTGTACACTCTGGTGACTTGGTCAGTGCCCCCAGGCATTGCTGTGATTTATGTGAAGGACTTGAGGAAGGAGCTTTTAGGTTGGATGTGGGTAATGTTTTATGATTAAAAGGGTTTGAAGTTTTAAGATGTGTATATTTAAATAAAGTGACAAAGTTACAGGTGGTGACCTGATATCTGTTGTTTGATCTCTGTAAGTCACAGGCTTGCGTTGGCATCAGCCACTGTCAGACTGCCTTCAGGAACCAGCAGCTGACACCCCAGCTTTCCTAGGTGCTGTGGCAATTCTTTCTCTAGGTCTCAAGGTGGTCTTGCAGCCCTCAGCCAGGCACTGGAGCCTACTGGATGGGCACTCCATGCTGTCCAGGCTTGCTGCTGTCTGAGATCGCAGTCTGCAAACCCGCTTCCTGCTTGGAGACTGGGCATTTTGATTCACACTTGGTGCCTGTGGTTTGCTTCCTGTTGTATGAATATATCCATGAACTATATTCATTTTTCTTTAAGTAGATTTATTATCTGAAATATTCATTGGAACTGGCTAATCAGTACAGCTCTTGGAACAAATGTACTGAGTCCAGTCTGTCCTCATAAATCTATTAATGCTAACGAGCTACAGTTGTTGCCTGGGAAGCTTGGGTGATGTGAGGCTGGTGGGGGAGTAAATGGGCTGCCGACGCTTTTCTGGACTTGGCTGTGGCCGAGGCAGGCCCTGCCCATGTGTATATTACCTCCCCACACATGCATGCAAGTGCATTCCCCCCACCTTCCCCATCCATACTACACACACACATACATACATGCACACACATACTACACATACACCACACCACACAATGCTACACATACACGCACATCCCCCCACACATACAATTGCACACACAGATACACACATTTTATACACACATTGCACATACACCACACCACACACATTCTCCACATACACCACACCACACACATTCTCCACATACACCACACCACACACATTCTCCACATACACCACACCACACACATTCTCCACATACACCACACCACACACATTCTATACATACACCTCACCACACATTCTCCACATACACCACACCACACACATTCTCCACATACACCACACCACACACATTCTCCACATACACCACACCACACACATTCTCCACATACACCACACCACACACATTCTCCACATACACCACACCACACACATTCTACACATACACCTCACCACACACATTCTCCACATACACCACACCACACACATTCTCCACATACACCACACCACACACATTCCCCACATACACGCACATCCCCACATACATATGCACATATGCATACAAGTGCACACACACATACATACACACCCACCCATACACACTTTCTATACACACACTACGCATACATGCGTGTGTGCGCGCACACACACACACACACACACACACACACACACCTGTTCCCTTGTTCCTTTTCCTCTCTGAATGTGGAGATGTCTTTTTCTTGAGAGCCTTCTTGTACTTTCAGCATCTTCTATAATTCCAGCCCCCAGTGGTGGTTTGGGGGTGTAGTGAGGGTATGCTGGGAAAGCTGTCCCATGAGTGGTATCTTATCTGTGGGAAGAGATTTAGGGGACTGGACACAGGCTGGGGCAGGCTGTGAGGCTGACGGGTGAGAGCGGCTTAGCAGCCCCTGAGCAGGGAGCTTGTCCCCGGGGACCTTGGTGGCCTATCACAAGAGTCAGTGTTGCCGTTCCTGTGCCACCCACAGAGAGACCGAGGCTCTTGCCCAAGTGTGGTTCCTTTAGGCTGTAAACTTGTGTCAATGACCTGGCGTGAATGTAGTCAGTGTCACACGGCAGGAAACACTCATGGCCAGTGAAGCCCCGTGTGAAATGGGGTGCAGGAGGGGCCTGGAGGGAGCATCGTGGGAGGTGAGAAAGCTGGAGGGAAGGCTGAGAGAGGGAGTTCCATACTTGGGAAGAGCAAGGTGAGGTTTACGAGGACACGGTCATGAAGGGGCGGCTGAAGGGCTGGGGTGAGGGTGATGGTTCAGTTTTGCTCAGTCCTGAGGGCAGGGGAGGAAGCTTAGAGCCGCTGTTGCAGACCTTGCTGGGAGATTTGGACGTGAGAGAAGTGAGCTTTGGAGTTTTGAAGCTAAGAAGAGAGATACAGATCTGTGTATTTGGAGAATGACTGTGAGGTGCAACAGAGGATGTGATGAGGTTAACCATGCAGGGAAGCCACAGGGCAGGGCCAGAGGCTGCCGAAGCTGTGGAAGAGAGATGTAGTGTGGGATTAGTGTAGAGAAATAGCAAGAACTGGCCTAGCTGAGAGACCATAGAAAGAAAAAGCCAGAGGAATAAAATGGCCAAAAAAGGAAAGAAGGAAAGAGCCCCTTGGAATAAAAATGTCAAGAAATCTTAGCAAAGCTTTTATAGTTAGAAATTCGGTTTCTTGCAGTTTTGAAACAGGGTCCTATTCTGTAGCACAGGCTGGAACCCATTGTGTAGCTCAGGCTGGCCTTGGATTTAGAGTAATCCTACCTCAGCCTATTGAGTGCTAAAACCATAGGCCTGAGCTACCATCCTGGCTAAATTAAGCTCAGTAGTGTTTCCAAAATTGAAAGAGACTGAGGACACAAGTAAACATGAATCAAAAGGAATATCGTTTAGAGAAAAATAGACATTAGAATTCTAGAGCAAAAGCAGGACCTGCTGGAGGGGGAACCAATGATGCAAGGCTGGGCGCAATGACCAAAGACTGCAAGCCCAGGAGTGTGACATGGGAAACCCGGGCAGATCCCTGGGCAGGGGTGAAGGTAAATGGGCACAGAGCTCACTGTCTCAGGCAGCGCCCACACCTGATGGACACTATCAACACAAAGGGCTTCTTGTCTTGAAGTTTGAAACTAGAAAACAACCCGGGAGTTGGGCCCACTTTCTTCCTTCTTCCTGCTTGTCCACCGTCCTGTCCCCAACAGTGTCCCTGTCAGCATAGCCAGCCCTGTGCTGCCTGGACTTCCCTCCTTCTTGCCTTTCCCCACTTTCTTTGCCCTCAGATGATCCCCAACCCCCACCTCCTCCTTGGCTCCGCTGTTTCTGCCTCCTGGGCTCAGGTGTGTGGTGTCTAGCACTCAGACAATTGGCTAACTCTGGGGTTTCCTGCTTCCACTCCAGGTCATCTTCCATGACGTTGCTGTGCTGACAGACAAGCTCTTCCCCGTCGTGGAGGCCATGCAGAAGCACTTCAGTGCTGGCTCAGGGACCTACTACAGTGACTCCATCTTCTTCCTCTCTGTCGCCATGCACCAAATCATGCCCAAAGGTAACTCGGGGTGTCAGACTCTGTATGCACTTCTGCGCTCAGTATGTCTGATGCCCTGTTTGTGAGGAAGGCAGGGGCTCAGGGGCCTCCTTAGAGCGAGGTGCAGCTTTATCCACTTGCTAGATCTCCTCGTCCTGTGAATGACACATACACCAAGACACTGCATCTGTCTACAGCTTATACAGTCAGTCAAGTGGCAGAGCTAGAATTTGAAGTCATGTCTATCTGATATGGAGTGCTGCCTCTCCAGATAGCTTTCTGTCTCTTCAGGTGACCACATGAGAGCTCTCTGGGAATGCCTGGTACAGGTGTAGCGTTCAAGATTGGGTGCTGGATGCTGCTTTGCCACCAGCTGAGTGCATGGCTTTGGCTAAGGCACTCTGTGTTGCTAGGTTTGTTTCCTCACCTGTGAAAGGAGGGGACTGAACCAGTTGGTGAGCTGTATCAGCCTGCCTTCTGCAGATGCCGGGCCTGTAGGGATACTCCACCGTTGGAGTAGTCCTGGAGAGTTAGGAGGCCCTCTGTCTCCATCCCACCTCTCTTGGCTGTGCCCCTACTCCACATCGAGAACCTGCCCACCACTGCCACCATCTGTTGTGCATTATCCCTATCTGATCCCAGGGTTCTGTGACTGAACAAGTGTGCAACAGGCAGCTTGATGGGCCAGAAGTGCCTGGCAATCTGTGCCTGTGACAGGCCGTGACACCAGAGGACATCAGATTGGGAGGAAGCATGCTGTCCTTGCTGAGTTCCCCTCCCTCCATCCACCATCAGGTCCCTGGCCTTGAGGTCAGTTTGTGTTTTAGGGTGCCCAGTGTGGTGCAAAATGGAGCTCCTTTGATTTGCAGGGAAGGGAAGGTACCTGTTACCCCAGCTCCTTAGCTATGTGGGAAGCTGGGCAGTGAATCCCAAAGGGTCTGGGGATCTACTAGATGCTGCTAGTATCGTCTCCCCTGACTTTGCAAATGAAGACAGACAGAAGGCTTTCCTGTCCCATAGCCTCTATGGAGGGGACCATGTCTACTGAAGAAAGCTGTGGTGGGGGCTTTGCTAGAAACCTGGTGTGGGGCATAAGGAGTTTCTTCGATGCCCCATGCCATCATCTCTGACGTACATTGGTGCTGCCAGGAGCAGATGTGTCTCATTGTCATAAAAACCCTATATTAACAAAATATTTTAAATGCCATATTCTGTAGGTCTTTGAAAGGTTTGAAGACCATCTGTCTATCTAAAATATATCTCTATATGATCTGGAAAGGCTACCTAACATATCTACAAATTTGATTGTTATAGATGACAAATGACTGACCTGTGTTTCTTGATTATCCTAAGTACTTCGTAATAATAACTTTCAAAAACTATAATTTACCTTATATTTTTAAATGAACTGCCTAGGTAAAATACCTTAAACATATATTTATAATATGTTGCAACAAAAATAACCTTAAATTGGTATCAGCATACAAAAGTCCTTTAAACAAGAGTAGAAACGTATATACAGAGTGTTGTAACAAAAATTGCCTAAATTTGTACCATTATACAAAAGTCCATACCAATACAAAATATTTGAGATTAATTGTTGCTTTTAAAAGTAGATTCAATAATCTACCCTTTTGTCATTCCTGTATTTCCCTAAATGATAACAAACATCCATAGCCCAGCAAATAACCAAAGAGCATTCATGTACGCCGGCCCTGGATTGTGGATGCAGTCCTCTCCATACTGCTTCCTGCTGGCTGAGGGTGAAGTGTCCCCAGGGGTCCCCAAGAAAAATTTGAGATAATGACCAAGTCCTAGAAAGACTATTTATAAACTTTGTTGATCTCACCTGTCAAGATTCAGGAGGTCTCCCCTGATCAAACCAGATCCGTATCAACCTGAAGTGAGTCCATGGCCTCTTGTTTCCTGTAGAAACAAAAGCAAAACTGCTTCTCCAAAGCATTTTTTAATTTTCACTTGACAAATACACTTTTGACGTTTTTAAAGTTAAGACGCTCTCACAATACCCAGGCTGGTTTATTCCAGCAGCTCTTTCAGTTCAGATCTCTTAGAGCTGCGCTTTGCTTTTCAGCAATCAAATCAAAAAAATCAACACAATAGCATACAGGATTCAGACTCATGTGTATTTCCCATCTTATGTGGCTTTTTTTTAATATTACTTTTAATGTCTTTTTAAAGACTTTATTTTTTAAAACTTTTACTGCGTATGTTTTAGTCTTTTTTTTTTTTTTTTTTTTTTTTTTTTTTTTTTTTTTGGTTTTCAAGACAGGGTTTCTTTGTAGCTTTGGAGCCTGTCCTGGAACTAGCTCTTGTAGACCAGGCTGGCCTCGAACTCACAGAGATCCACCTGTCTCTGCCTCCCGAGAGCTGGGATTAAAGGCGTGCGCCATCACTACCCAGCTCTTTTAGTCTTTTTTGATCACACGAGCAAACTTGAGACTGTTAAGCTACACCTGGATTCTCTGTGCAGTTCTCTTGTTGGCTGGCTCTGCCCACTTCTTGGTTCATGAGAGCCAAGCCTAAAGCTTGCATCCTGGTTGGAGGTGTGTCTCACCAGGAACTGCATTCCACCTTCCTAGAGCTCTAGAATGCTAGTGCTTGCCTTGTGGCAGGCATTTTTTACTTCTTTGTTTTGTTTTTGTTTTTGTTTTCGAGACAGGGTTTCTCTGTGTAACAATTCTAGCCGTCCTGGAACTAGCTCTTATAGACCAGGCTGGCCTTGAATTTACAGAGATCCGCTGGCTCTGCCTCCCAAGTGCTGGGATTAAAGACACCTGTCACCACCACCCGACTCATTTTTTGCTCCTACTTAAAGTACTGGCTGCTCAAGGTCTTGGCAGCAGGCAGAAACTCCTAAAGTACTGTATATCCCCCCCACCCAGCTTTCACAGGCTTTAGATGACTGTCTGAGTCCTACACTGGGTGCCAAAATGTTGGGTTTTTTATATTTTTGGGGGGCCCACCAGCCAGCTCCCCAAATAAATTACACACAGAGACATATTCTTTTTTTCTTTTTCTTTTTTCTTTTTGTCTTGTTTTGTTTTTGTTTTTGTTTTTTGAGACAGGGTTTCTCTGTAGCTTTGGAGTCTATCCTGGAACTAGCTTTTATAAACCAGGCTGGCCTTGAACTCACAGAGATCCGCCTGCCTCTGCCTCCCAAGTGCTGGGATTAAAGGGTTGTGCCGCCACCACCTGCATCAGAGGCTTATTTTTTGTTATGAATGCCCAGCCTTAGCTTGGCTTGTTTCTTGCCAGCTTTTCTTAAATTATCCCGTCTGTCTTTGTTCTTGGGGCTTTTACCTTTCTCTGTTCCTGTATACTTTTTCTTTCCTTCCTATTGTCTGTCTGTGTGTAGAAGGAGCTGCGGGCTGTGCTCCTGGCTAGCTTTACACCCGAAATAATTACACAGAAATTGTATTCTTTTAAACACTGCTTGGCCAATTAGCTCTAGCCCCTTATCGGCTAATTCTCACATCTTAATTAACCCATTTCTATTAGTGAGGAAGGATCTTAACCTGCGTTCATCTTGGAGAGGAGAGCTATAGCGTCTGCCTGACTCACCTTCTTTCTTCCAGCCTTCTGTTCTGTCTTCTCCACCCACCTAAGGGCTGGCCTATCAAAGGCCAAGGCAGTTTTTTATTAACCAATGAAAGTAACACATAGACCCTCCTCCATCAGCTGTGTAGCTTGGTGGGTGAGTGGCTGGCCCCTGAAGTCCTCCTCCTTCCTTTCTCATTCCCAAATCCTTTTCTCCCAAATCTTTATATTCTTTGCCTGCCAGTCCTGCCTGTTCTTGCTTGTGCCTTGCACTTGGCACACATCTCTTTATTATACCATCAGGTGTTGTAGACAGGCACAGTAACACAGCTTCACACAGTTAAACAAATGCAACAGAAACAAAAGTTACACACCTGAAAATAATATTCCCTAACGTCCTCATGATGTTGTGTATAATTCCCCAAGTGGTTCTGTTAACTAGATGAGGCTTGCTTTACTTTAGTGTTTATTTTCCTGTCCTGGCTCAGTGCTTACTATTGGCTTTTTAATTTTGTAAATTAGACTATGGCAGATGGCCACATCTAGAAAGATTATCTCTCTTCTTAGGACTGCGTCCACATGACATCTTCCCAAGGGTGGAATTACTACAGCAAAGGTGATCCTTACAAAGCCAGGTGTGTCAACCCCTAGTGCTCCCAGTGTGGGCTGCATGAGTAGGGTCTGTGCCATGTTCTGGACACAGGGTGTCTAACCTTTTGTGGAGCTCAAGCCGCTGCGTAGACACTCCAGTCACTTGTCAGGAAGAGAAGCCTGCTGAGAGTTGGCAGAGCTGGGTCTCCCCTGCACTTTTACTTTTAATGTCCAGACCTGAGTTCTTCCTCATCTACCTGCATAGCCCCGTGCAGCTTCTAGATCCTGACTTCCACCCCTCTCTTCTGCTATAACCCTGCAGAGTGGCCTGGCTGGGAGAGGGGTGGGAAAGCAACTCCATGTACTAACTGTTCCTGGAAGCAGTGTTATGAAAACCATATCTGCAAAGTGGTGCCCCAGGAGAAACAGAAGCTTAGGTCAGGTGTGGTGTGCTGGCTTTGATTTTTCTCAGCCCTTGTTTTTACTTTGCTTGCTCAAGGGGTCACATTTGTCTAGCTGGCCCGTCCTGCTGTTCACACTTGTTGTCCCTTTCGGACCTGTGGCCACTCTTTGCTCCTCACTCATCCTCAGGGCTTTTCTCTCTCTGTCTATAGTGTTAATTTTGTCACCATTGAAAGCATTCATGCAATAACAAATAAAGGCTGTGCCTAACTGCAGCTGCAGGGAGCAAAGAACAGCTCCTTTGGACTAGCTAGTGTCTCTATCCCACGTGACCCAGCTCTGGGGAGCTGTCAGCTTGGCATAGTCACATGCCAGAGGAAGCAGCTCTTGCAGGTTGAGCTTGGATGTGTGATTTGTGGAGTGGCAAGGTTCTCCTGGTCAGGATAGGCCGATACCAGTCAGCCTTCATT